GTTTGGACAGGAAAGCAAGCAGAAGAGGAAAGGCCAGCCTAAGGGCCTCTTTTTTTTCCCTGAAGTGGGAGGAGGGTCCTCCCCAGAGCATAATGAAAGAGCTGAGCCTGGGCAAGATTTGACGGCATTGTTATGGAAAATGGAAGATGCTGGTACTGGAGAAAAAACGGATAAAGGTGGTAGTGGAGAAAAATGTTTGGGTTGCCTTGAGGACCTTAATAAAATTGAAGACCATAAATTTATAGTTGTAGAGGGGAGGAGTTTGTTAGTTGCACTGATCTAGGGTTGAGGTTTTGCAGGTAGAGATGGAAGGAAAAGTGTCATTGCCATGCTCTAGCTTAAAGACCTTTGAGACTTGAGAAAAACTGAAAACTAGAATAACCTGCCCTGACATTTAATCCTTCCATAATTTGGTTTGTGTCTACTTTATTGTGCTGCCTCCATCTTCCTTCTCTCCTTGCTGCACCAACCTATTCATACTACCTTCTTCTAGTAATTCCGGTCTCAATTTCCCTAAACTGTTGGGTTTCCAACTTCCGAATTTCTGTCTCCTTCTAATTAGAATGTCCTTCTAATCATTAAAGGCCAGTGCAAATTCCATTTGCCCCAAAAGCCTCCCACCTTCCCCAGCAAGAATTAATCTCTCATCCCCTATTCAGCTAGCATTGCCCATCATGTCTTCTCAATCCTTTCCCACTCCTTGAAGAAGTTGCCCCACCCACCAGCAGCCCAAAAGAGGGAAGCTCCTTGGGCATAAATTATTGGCATAGCACAGCTAATTGGAGATTTCTCTCTAAGCATTTGAGATTGAGCTAGCAGGCTACATTAGCCATCAGAGACATAGGACCCTCTAGATCTGGACAGAGAGCTGGTGCCTTCCAAAGCACCTGTGTGCTGAGGGTAACGGGGGAGTAGAAACCAAGAGCCTTCTGGAGTAAAATGGCACAAACTTGCAGGGAGATGCAGAGATAAGATACTGGGTAGGGGTGAGGGCAGATGAAATGAGACTGAGAGACAGCTTTCTCACTCTGGTTTCTATGAACATCTTGCAGCTGAGTTCCTAGAGATATTCCAGCATCCTTAACATGAATCCAATTTTAGTTACGTTAGCCTGAAGTAGTTGCTGTTCCTTGCAATAAATTGTCACTGTCCCTGAACCAGAAGGGTCTGCTCCCATAGTACTTTGCGTGTGCCTCTACTAGAGCATTATCTGCTATCATCAGAGTTATGCAGATGCCTGTCTGCTTCCACCTGGGCCTGGCACACCTGTTCATTCAGTATCCCTGGAGCCTGGTGCTTGCTGGATGCTCAAAAAATAGTTGTTGAATTTGAGTTCTCCCAGTTCACAAAATGGTTCGATGATGTATCATTTGTTAGAGAAACCTTATAAACTCTATGTTTCACTCCATATTTTGCTATATTTGGATTATTTTACTATATTTGGATTATTTTACATCTTTCAAAAAATCAAATTTGCTTTCCTGCTACTCACACTTTCCATTATCTTTTTGTGGTCATCACACATGACTGATAGTTAAGCAGGGGTCCAAGCATACCTCTAGTTGGTGAGAATGTCTTATATGCAGCCCATCTTCCAGTATTCAACTGACTTTAACCTTGAAATGGATACTTCCCATGAAGGCTATTGGGGCAGCTTAATTTCAATGACGTCATTTAAAACACATTAAAAAGTCAGCAGGCAGACTAAGCACAACTGCTTCCTTTAAATCCCTATTCAGAATCATTGATCTTCAGAGCTGCGGCCAGTGGTTCTCAGGCTTTGAGTTTCTATGAACCACCAGCATTAATACAAGATAAAAAGGGAGGAGTTGCTGGATTTATCCTCTTCCAGGAAATAGCAGTAAAACAAATAAGTTTTTATCAATATAGTATCATTTCATAAAATAAAGGGCATGTTAACACCAATATTATCGAGAGCACTATCTCCTAATTTAAGTATCAGATGCAGTGAAGTGTGGCTTAACAACAGAACTAAGTTGTCAATCTTTAGGCAGTTTCATCATTGTGCAAACATCATAGAGTGTCCTTACATAAACTTCGATGGGCAACCCAACTACACACCTAGGCCATATGGTATAGCCTGTTGTTCCTAGGCTACAAATCTGTACAGCATGTTACTGTACTGAATACTGTAGGCAATTATAACACAATGGTAAGTCTCTGTGTATTTAAACATCTCTAAACATAGAAATGGCATAGTATAACTACAGTATTATAATCATATGGGGCCACCATCCTATAGGCAGTCTGTTGTTAACCAAAAACATCTTTACGTGGTGCATGACTGTACATTTGACTTTATAAAAACTGATGACATTTTGGTTTCTAAATAATGTTTAACATATCTAAATATTTCTAAATAACATGCCTAACACTGTGCCTGGCACATGGTCAATTCTCCATATTATTATTATTAGTGTTTAATCAATGTTGGTCGTTTTTCACACAAGGGAGAATAATATTTTTATCTTCCCAAAAGATTTGCTGAGCTTCTTCATGGATTTGAAGTGTGTCCCTAATTTTTCTGTGGAATGCAATGACTCTGTAAAACAAACTGAGAAGATTTGAGATTCTCACAGGTATTCTGAGGAATAGTGAGAGGAGGAGAGAAAAGAAAGGAGTCTGCAAGATGAAGAGACTGAGGACTCATTCCCATGAAGACCACAAACTTTCCTTGCTGGGGAGGGAGGTGGGTGAAGAATATTTTGTGACTCGGGATGGATCAATATAGTTTGTGTGCTTTATATCTCAGGAATGTAAATAACTTCTCTTTCACACCACCCTACCTCCAGCTTCTGTAACATTTACAATGTGCAATGGTCCATGAATGTTATAAATAGGTTTATGGCGGAATTCATAAAAGGGTAGAACCCAGAGAGTAGCCCAGAAGCAGAGGCCAGGAGCCAGAGGTGACCAGAGAAGAGAAGCTGCCAAGAGCTCCGAAAACTCTCAGCCGTGGTTTGAGCATGGCTCCTCAGCAGACACCTGTCTGTATGTCTTCGTAGTAATGGAAGCCATTTTGGTTTCACACCTGGGAATGAATAAGTAAGGCGTGATAGGCCTGGTTCCAAAGTTCTGTGCCTGTCCCAGCTGGGTCAGGGCTGTTGTCGTGGTAGAATCACCTACAGTTAAAGAGAATCCTTGACGTGGAGGTTTTCTTTTTCTCTTCTTTTCTTTTTTTTCTTTTTGAGACAGGGTCTTGCTCTGTCGCCCAGGCTGGAGTGCAATGGCACAATCTTGGCTCACTGCAATCTCCGCCTCCTGGGTTCAAGCGATTCTCCTGCTTCACCCACCAGAGTAGGTGGGAACACAGGCGCGCCATCACACCCAGCTAATTTTTGCATTTTTAGTAAAGACCGGGTTTCACCACGTTGGCCAGGCTGTTCTCGAACTCCTGACCTCAAGTTATCCACCTGCTTCGGCCTCCCAAAGTGCTGGGATTACAGGCGTGAACCACCACGCCCCGCCGGCTTGGATGTTTTCAAGGGGTAGAGAGGCGCCCTACTTAGGTACAGCCAGAATTGGCCTTGAGGTATGGGATATCTGACTCCTGCAGGACTGGAGCGCCAAGTGCTTGGAGGGATAAGCTTTTATGATGTAACCTCTACGTATCCAGAGGGCGTGAGGAGTATCGCTGTTGCTGGGCAACCTCGCTTAACTCCGTGGCTTTGGTTAAGGTGCTACTCTACGCAGAATTCCTTGACGCCTTCCCTAATCCGCCTCCCCAGCTCTTCCTTCCTGAACACCAGGAAACCCACCAGCCTCCTTGCAACTGAAGCAGTTTCTGTGTTACGGCAGAGAGTAGTGATCAAAAGCTTAGGGTTTAGTGTTAGATAAACCAGGCTCCACTCTGCGACCCCACGCAACCTCCCCAGGCTCTCTGCACCAGGACTGGCATCTGTCAAACGGGTGGGGGCTGACAGTGAGCAACTGCCTCACAGATGGACTACAGGCTTAACCAGAGACTGACGGCGAGTCGCATATTCATCTTCCAATCACTTAGCAAACTCGTTTCACTCTGCATCTCTTCTCCCGGCTGTCCTTGCAACTTCCTCCTCCCTGAAATTTCGAAGATCCACCTCGGTGGGAAAGTCAGTCCGCGTGGCGCGCCCTTTCCCTGCGTCCCTCCTTCCCAGGGCCCACCCTCCGCGGACGCAGAGCGTCTGCCGGGGGGACGGCCGGTCCGCGATGGCGGCCTCTGAGGCAGTGGGTCCCCTCTCGCCGTGGGCTCGGGAAGCGTGTGAAAGGTCCGCTCGGATCCTCTGCGGCGCTGCCCGCAGGGAAAGCGCCGCTGCCAGCCGGGCTGTGAGGGGCGCGAGTGGGAGAAGCACACCGCAGGATGGGCGAGCCGCTGCGGAGGTAACCGCGGGGACCGCGGCCAGGGACGGGGGATGGGCGCAGCCGAGGGTAACTGGAGGATCGGCATCCGGATCGCGTCAGGCCCGCTCCGCCTGACCTCCTTATCCTCCAGCCCGCGTCCCCAGCCGTCCTCCCAGATCCAGACCGTAGCTCCAGAAGTGACGGTCACTTGGATGGCGGCGCGCGCGCCGCGGGGGCTGGAATGTTGGCGTGGTGGGGGGAGCGAGGTTGGAAGGGCGGCAAAGAGGTGAAGGAAGACCCGCGTCCGCGCGCCCGGGCGCCGACCGCTGGGCGACGTCGCCGGGAGCGAGCACGCCTCCGACGTCACGCGCTGCTCGTCCAATGAGCGGAGGCCTGAGGGAGGCGCCGTCCGGACCCCGCTGCTGCCGCCACCGCCGCCGCCGCCGCCGCCGCAGCCGCAGCAGCACCGGCCCTTCAGGAGCGTCTCGAGAGGCGCGGGCCGTTGCGGGCTCCGGCGCCGCGCCGCGCCGCCCCGAGCCTCTGGACGAGGCCCACGGAGCCATTCGCCCGGACCCCGCCGCCCGATGTCCTCAAGATGGAGGCAGCGGGGGCGGCGGCGTGAAGAAAGCGGCGCTGTGGGCGCGGGAGCGGGAGCCCGGGCGGAGGCGGTGGCGGGATGGGGCTGCTGCTCATGATCCTGGCGTCGGCCGTGCTGGGTTCCTTTCTCACGCTCCTCGCCCAGTTCCTCCTGCTGTACCGTAGACAGCCCGAGCCGCCGCCGGACGAGGTCGCCGGCGCGGGCGAGGGCTTCCGCTACATCAAGCCGGTGCCGGGCCTGCCCCTGAGGGAGTACCTTTATGGCGGCGGCCGGGACGAGGAGCCCTCCAGGGGCGGCCTCTGAGGGCGGCGCGACCACCGCGGCCCCCGAAGCCCCCGCCCCGCCGGCGCGGGAGACTTGCTACTTCCTCAACGCCACCATCCTATTCCTGTTCCGGGAGTTGCGGGACACCGCGCTGACCCGCCGCTGGGTCACCAAGAAGATCAAGGTGGAGTTCGAGGAGCTGCTGCAGACCAAGACGGCCGGGCGCCTGCTGGAGGGGCTGAGCCTGCGGGACGTGTTCCTGGGCGAGACGGTGCCCTTCATCAAGACTATCCGGCTCGTCCGGCCCGTCGTGCCCTCGGCCACCGGGGAGCCCGACGGCCCCGAGGGGGAGGCGCTGCCCGCCGCCTGCCCCGAGGAGCTGGCCTTCGAGGCGGAGGTGGAGTACAACGGGGGCTTCCACCTGGCCATCGACGTGGACCTGGTCTTCGGCAAGTCCGCCTACCTGTTCGTCAAGCTGTCCCGCGTGGTGGGGAGGCTGCGCTTGGTCTTCACGCGCGTGCCCTTCACCCACTGGTTCTTCTCCTTCGTGGAAGACCCGCTGATCGACTTCGAGGTGCGCTCCCAGTTTGAAGGGCGGCCCATGCCGCAGCTCACCTCCATCATCGTCAACCAGCTGAAGAAGATCATCAAGCGCAAGCACACCCTGCCCAGTTACAAGATCAGGTGAGCGGGAGGTCGGAGAGGGGGTCTGGCTGCCGGGAACCCGGCCTGGCGGGACGCTGCCGGCTGCGCGGGTTGGGAAGGGCAAAGGTTCGTTTCTGTCCCAGCTCCTGCTTCTGGGATCCTCCCACCCCCCTGGACAGGGCCCTAGATCCCGGCGAGTAGTGAACACTTGCTTTGCTTCCGAACGGCTTTGATAGGAGCTGGAAACCTTTTCGTGTGTTCATGGGGGCTCAAGATGCTGTCAACGTGGGCAGAAGCGCTTGCTTCTATAAGCAGCATATTGGAAATGGAAGGGAAGCCTGCCCTAATCCCCAGGAGTCGCTGCTGGGACTGTCGAGAAACTCTCCCTGTATGTGGTTGCTGCATTGAGGGCAGCCGCGTCACTGGCTCTGCAGCATCACCTTGGCCGCGCAGAGAAATTGTTCCTGGACACGGTACACGCATCAGGGGTGTGCTCAGAGCTCAGGTCTGTGATATTTGCATTGCAAGCCACTTTTGCTTTGATGCTTTGGCATCTTTCAAAGCAGAGTTGGTAGCTCTTGCAAAGGAATCCTTTTTTTTTTTTTTTTTTTGAGACATTGTCTGGCACTGTCGCCCAGGCTGGAGTGCAGTGGCCGGATCTCGGCTCACTGCAACCTCCGCCTTTCGGGTTCAGCGATTCTCCTGCTTCAGCCTCCCAAGTAGCTGGGATTACAGGCGCATAGCACCACGCCCAGCTGATTTTTTTGTATTTTTTAATAGAGATGGGGTTTCACCATGTTGGCCGGGCTGGTTTTGAACTCCTGACCTCAAGTGATCCACCCACTTCGGTCTCCCAAAGTGTTAGGATTATAGGCGTGAGCTGCCACACCAGGCACAGGAATACTTTCCACAGTAGATTGGAAAGGAGTTGGGAACCTGTACAGAGTGTACTTTATATATTGTATTAATGTCATTTGCCCATTTTGGGTAGGTTCTGGAACACAGATCCAGACTCTGCCCATCAAGCATTTACTCTCTGCGACTGTGAGTTCCTCTCAAGGTACCTGAAGTCACTGTACAGATTGTATTTTAATTTGAGGTAGTGATTTTAATTTTTTAAAGCCCTCCAGCATATGATGGCTTAACATTTTGTGGTATACAGTTTTGAGTAGTGTCTGAATCTTGTTTTAATATTGTAGGAGTGGAAGGGGAAAGTCTTAGGGCTATAGGCAGAGTGGAAGGTGCTGTTTCTTTTGTAAAAAGCTGAATTTTTAATTTCGTTTACTTTTGTATTCACTAAGACGTTTGAGCCTTTCAAATTTTTTTCCCTTGATTATAAAATTATGTCAGTCTTGAATTTTACTTTCCTAATTTTACTTTCCTTTTAGTGGAAGTTGCCTTTTTCTGGATCACAAATTTTCTACCAGTCTCAATTTTCAGGAGCAAGATGATCCAGAAATATTTTGAGTTTGGAATGGATTATTGACTCGTGTATGTGGCAGATGTACCTTACCAATTATGTTTTGTTTAGGCTAATAGCACAGAGTGATAGCTTAAAACTTGGGTGGCAGGAGAAATTTACTTTATAGTGGAAATATTTCCATAGATTTGCAGAGGGTTGTGAGCTGGTTGTTCAAAGTATTTGATTTCTGGTTCTGTGAAGTAGAACATACTTTATGAAACCTACTTTTTTTTTTTTTTTTTTTTTTTTTTGAGACAGAATTTCCTTCTATCACCAAGCTGGCTTGCAGTGGCAGAATCTCCACTCACTGCAACCTCCACCTCACTGCAATCTCCACCTTCTGGGTTCAAGAGATTTTTCTGCCTCAGCCTCCCAAGTAGCTGGGACTACAAGTGTGCACCACTACACCCAGCTAATTTTTGTATTCTTGGTAGAGACAGGTTTTCACCATGTTGGACAGGATGGTCTCAATTTCTTGACCTAGTGATCTGCTGGCCTCAGCCTCCCAAAGTGCTGGGATTACAGGTGTGAGCCACCGCACTGGGTGGAAACCTACTTTTAATCTCTGGAATATCAGTGCTTAAATTATAAATGGGTTCTAGTGTTTAAGCAGCAAGTGTTGCCAGAGATTTTGGTATTCTATTACAACTTCAATTATGATGTTTCCTGGTAGCTTTCAGTTAATGCAATTTGACTAGATTGTTAATTTGAAATTTGTAGAATAGCCAGTGACAGTGAGGTTACATATCATTTTGAGACTTTTTTTTAACATAGACTTGGAATTTAGGTAAATATAAAATAAGTTGTGAATAAGACTTATAGAGGCATTGAAAGTTTATTACTTTGAAAATCTATGATATGTATCATTGAATAACAACCATTTAGAAGTATGGCAAAATTGCTTTTCACTTATATCTGAAGGGATTTTTTAAAAGCACAGCATTAGTTTGGTTATGATATTTCAACTTCTAAACTTGAAGCATTAAATGATCATTTCCAGAAGTGTACACATCTGTGCTGTTTATATTAGATGGTATCTCAATGCTCAGTCAGTAAGCTGCACAGAGCATATCACTCAATCTGTAAATGTTTCTTGTACACTTGCTGTATGCTTATTGTTGTAGGTGCCGGGATTTCAGTACTGAACGATACTTGAACTCAACCCTCAAGAATCTTAGAGTCTAGTGAAAATTGAATTCGCTATACTTAGTAATTTTGTGTGTGTGCGTTTTGTGTGTTTTTTGAGATAGGATTTTGTTTGTTGCTTAGAACTGCTGTGCAGTGGCAGGATCACGGCTCACTACAGCTTCGACCTTATGGGCTCAAGCAGTCATCTCATCTCAGCCTTGCAAGTGGTTAAGACCACAGGTGTGTACCACCACACCTGGCTAATTTAAAAAAAAAAAAAATTTTTTTTTTTTTTTGTCTTGCTTTGTTGCCCAGGCTGGTGTGGAACTCCTGGGTTCATTCAAGTGTTTCTCCTACCTCAGCCTCCCAAAGTGCGGGGATTACAGGTGTGACCCACCTTGCTCAGCCCTTTATAAGATTTAAACTTAGTAGAGAAAAATAATAATTAAGTATGACAATGAAAAGGGCTGCCTCAGCAAGTGTTGACTTCTTGTCTCTGTTCTGCCCAGTATTTTAAATTGGTGATGGGCTGAGTGCAGTGACTCATGCCTGTAATCCCAGCACTTTATGAGGCCAAGACAGATGCGTCACTTGAGGTCAGGAGTTCAAGACAAAGGTCAGGAGTTCGAGACCAGCCTGGCCAACATGGTGAAACCCTGTCTCTAGTAAAAATACAAAAATAAACTGGGTGCGGTCGTGGTGGGCACCTGTAATCCCAGCTACTCTGGAGGCTGAGGCAGGACAATGGCTTGAACTTGGGAGGCAAAGGTTGCGGTGAGCCGAGATCGCACCACTGCACTCCAGCCTGGGGGACAGAGTGAGATTCCGTCTCTATAATAAATAAATAAACTGATGGTGACATAGGACTGATTCAAGTTTCAGATAAGAGAATGAATTACAATACATCTAAGATATACTTCTCACAGGGAAAATTAAACTAGCTAGTGTTCATCTGTATTTATAGATGAGGAAATGGAGCTCAGAGTAGTTAAATAACTTACTTAAAGTCACACAGCTTTCAAGTGGTGAAACCCAGCTCTGATAAGGCCAGGCTACCTTTAAAAAAAGCACACATGCACATGCACACACATACATAAACTATATTGTTCTTAAGTGATTATTTTTTAAAGCATGCCATTAATGTAATAAATATGTGGAATATCTTTCCAAACTAACCTAGAACTCTTGAGAAGTGTATGACCATAAAGCTGATTTTTGTCTTAAATTGGTCTTTTAGAGGATTCTTTGAAAAATAAATCATACGGCTAAATCTTTGGGTGTTCCCCCACATAGCATTTCTTTTTTAATTGAGCAGATTGTGTTTCCAAATAAAAAGTCTTGCTATTCTATTCTTTTTTTTTTTTTTTTTTTTTGAGATGGAGTCTCACTCTGTTGCCCAGGCTGGAGTACAGTCGTGCTATCTTGGCTCACTGCAACCTGCACCTCCTGAGTTCAAGCAATTCTCCTGTCTCATCCTCCTGAATAGCTGGGATTACAGGTGTGTGCTACCACACCCAGCGGATTTTTGTATTTTTAGTAGAGACAGGTTTCACCATGTTGGCCAGGCTGGTCTCAAAATCCTGACCTCAGGCAGTCCGCCCATCTCGGCCTCCCAAAGTGCTGGGATTACAAGTGTGAGCTACTGTGCCTGGCCTAGTTTATTCTTTTTTAGCTATCTAATCTTCTTAGTAGAGCTAAAGCAGTAAAGAGAATGTATGGAGTCTTAGGATCCTTTGGCGCTTGTAAATCGTTACATATCAGAAACATCTTGCCAGTTAACATTGTTGTTGTTAATTCTTTATCCCTTTATTTATTTTGCCTTTTTCATGTTGCTAAAGTGAAGTGGCCTCTTTGGACTGCTAGTTTCTGATGTTTCACCTGGAGATGATAAGTTGCTCAAGTGGTTGCTAAGGACCCAGCAGATTGACACTTCATTTTACCCAAATTAACAAACTTATAATGTTCGTAAAACATTTTATTTTACAAAATGAATTATAATATGTAGACAATATGTTTACAGATTTATTCAAATTAGGAATTTCATCTACCTCAATGTTAATTGTTTTGATTTTTTTATTAAAATACTTTAGTATATTACAGCAGTATTTTTTAAAAATGAACCTCAGAATTGATCTTCAAAAGAGAAGGATTACCACTAATGTTCTTTTACTACATAGATAATTCATCTTCAACATGAAGTCTGAGTAATAGTCTCTGGGTGGGGAGCTGTGTTTAGGATTTAGGAATCACGTATTTGAGATTCTTACTGATGCTTCTGTTCCTGCAGTATTATTGCATACAAATGAGCAGAGTCAGTTTACAGATACTTTTTATTTGGCCTGTGCTGTTTTTGTTTTTTAATTGCCAACCTTAAAAAAATGGAAGATTCTGTGTGATTGGCTTTCTGGTTTCTGTTAGGAAAAGCTGGAATATCTTACAGCACCAGTCT